CCACGCTGTCAGCACAGAGCCCAACATGGGGCTCAAATTCACTAACTGTGAGATCATGACCTGAGCCGAAATCAAGAATAGGATGCTTAATCAACTGAGCCACCCAGTTGCCCCTCATATGACAATTTGTAAGCAAAAACAGACTAAGCAGTTAGCAGAGGATTGAAGGGTTTACTTCCTTGAGTTATAATTAGCATTTTGCAAAAGGGTAGGCAATCATATATCTACCTTCCAAATAAGATTATATATATCTACCTTCCAAATAAGATTAACCTTTCACAGATTGAGAAGAAACTTAGCATCGTTTCTTTAAAATGTGGTGTCTATGATAACTTCTACACACACAAAACCTGCACATAAACGTTTATAGCAGTTTTGTTTATAATTGCGCAAACCTTGGAAATGACCGAGATGCCCTCTAGCAAGTGAATGGATCCAGTATAGTGCCTCCAGCCAATGGTCTATTGTCCACGCGGAAAAGAAATGAGCTATCTAGTCATGAAAAGACATGGATGAATTTAAAATGCATGTTTCCAAGTGAAAGATCCCAATCTCAAAAGGTACATAATATAGGACTCCAACTACATGATGTTCTGGAAAAGCCAAAGCTATGGAGACAGCAAACAGATCAGTAGTTGCCATAGTCTGAGCAGGGTGGGGACAAAGAGTCAGCACAGAGGATTTTCAGGGCAGTGAAAGTATCATGTCCGATACTGTAATGGTGGATATGTGTCATCATACGTCAGTCCAGATCCACAGAATGTAGGATTCAAACAGTGAACCCTAATGAAAACTATCACTTCTAGTTGATAACAATGCTTCAACGTTGGCTTGTCAACTATAACAAATGTACTACACGAATTCAATATATTCTTAGGTATATCTTGTGCACATAAATGTGCACAAGAAAAGGAACATATGAAAACTGTACCTTCTACTCAATTTTTCTGTAGACCTAATTTTTCTGTAAACGTGATCAAAAACAGTCTACCTTTTTTTGAGAGAGAGAGAGAGAGAGCGTGGGACCAGGAGGGGTACAGAGGGAGAGGGAGAGAGAGAGTCCCAGGCAGGCTCTACACTGGGCTCAGAGCAGAGCCCAATGCAGGGCTTGAACTCATGACTGTGAGATCATGACCTGAGCCAAAGTCAAGAATCGGATGTGTAACCGACTGAGCCACCCAGGTGCCCCTTCCCACTACTTTTTTAAAAAGTGCCTTTCAGACGCAGTGTTGAGTCAGAGACTTCTTCATCCAGACATCCGACATGTGTTACAAAGCACCTACTGAACACGGGCTGTGTGTTAACGGCAGAGTATCCAAGCCCTTGGAGCCTCCTGGGGACCCCGTTCTCTGCTCAAGCCAGCTAAAGCTCCTGTTTCCCCCGTAGGCTCTTTTCATCTCCAGAAGAGCCTACAGGTGCACTTAGCAGACAGACTCCGTCTTACTCCAAA